CGAGGAATTGTCAGGATGGTAAAAACGAAGGATGAGACACGCCATTCCCATTGCCGCTGACACCTCAATAATAGTGCAGGCGTAGTAGACAGCAATTAACGGAATAACCTTTGATGTGGCAGGTAATTTGTCCTAAAGAGAAGAATCAGATAATTACGTACAGTCGTAGACAGTCGCCCAAGAGTGTTTTGCTCATTAAGTTCTCTACTCCCTATTATGAAAACAGAGGCTTAACATACTTACCATCAACATTAACAACAAAATAGTAAACGACAGCAACACAGTGACTCCAAACGACATTCTCTCTCCAGACTCCGGCGGCAACAAAAAGACAAGTAAGGTTAGGACTGCAATCAACACGCACGGCAATATGAAGTTCATCATGTAAAACAGAGTGCGTCTGCGCAACTCCAGATGATACGTCACTTCCGGGAACTCTCCTTCGCAGCAATCGTATGTTAGAAGTTTGCGTTCTGATCTAACATCAAGCAGGATCCACTCACCATTCTCCACGTATCTGTATTATGAAGCATAAGTTTACTGTGAAAAAGAGTTCTTTGAAAACTTGGACGGCTCTCAAAATTCCCATTAGGCCTTGATGATGATGATGATGACGATGATNGGCAGGTATACGCTTGTCTGGCACTTTGCATCTGCCGGTCAGCATTTCATAAGTAGTTCCCCCCATCCCGGGTGTAGAGCGTCTTCCAACTTGATATATACAGTCGAACCCTAGACTACGAGTAGTCCCTCTTTCGCTTAGTCCGTCGTGCGTGACGTGACAGAAAACTGCGGGACAAAAATGCATGGCCGCGCGAAATCCTGGGTGCGAGGAGCAACGCCCTCAGGATTTCGCGCAGCCATTTTTTCGTCGCAGTTTTCTTTCGTATCTCGCTCGACAGACGAAGCGAAAGAGGGACTACTCGTAGTCAAGTCGAACCTCTCGTACGCGGACACCCTCGGGACCAGAAAAAGTGTCCGCTGTAGAGAGGTGTCCACTTATGGGAGGTTAAAAATACAGTGTTTGTGTGTGGCTGGGACCGCTACTAAGTATCCGCTTACGGGAGGTGTCCGTCATCGGAGATTCAACTTTAGTATCAACTGCCCCGTTGCTCTTCTTCTGTAACAAATTTTAGCACGTCCTTCTACCTGGCGATACAATCTCTCCCAGTTGTCACGTGTACTTCTGTATAATATATTCCGTGTTAGTTTTCAAGTCTGCTATCCTTCTGTCTAGAATTCTCTCCAGTTCCTTCTCTCGTCGATTCTCCTCCGCCAAGAAATCCGACGTGATAGAGGAGCGCCTGGCGCCCACAGGGGTGACGGACCGCTGAGGAAAAAGAAATGGAATGTAAATGAGGTGCATGGATTTACTACAAAAAGAGAGCACAAATTATGCGCAAAAACGACTGACTTGAAGCTTTATCAAGCAACCTAAATGACTATTTCTATCCATAAACCCTACTCACTATATTATAGCTTCGAGCGCGGGCAACATGAACCAAATTTTTCGCAGTGATTGGCTAGCCGAGCGGGCAAGATGGCAATGTCTTGTCCGTTCGGGATTACGCGCAATGTTCCGCAAAAAATATCCCTGAAGATCATATTTTTGGTGTACTTTATCCCATATAATAAATCCTTTATTGACCGAGCTTGTTCGGTCAAGATGGCTGGATAATGGCTTCGCTCGTTTTTGTTTTGGGTGTTTATGGACCTCGACTCCGTCTCGATCCACAAACACGCAAAACAACAACAACAACAACAACAACAACAACAACATCTTTATTTTCTCAATATATATGTAAATATTATGATATTTTTTGTTTATTTAATATGTTTAGTATGTTTAGATGAGGTAACTGTTATAATCTTGTTTGAACGAGACTGGAGGCTAAATAAACCGTTCGGCTTTCGAGTTAGCTTCCAACCTTGTTATGTCTAATTGTAGGACAGGAGAGATGAAGGAAGAATTTGCAGTTTACACTTTAGTTTAAGGGAGAACAAAAAAAGAAAAGACAAATTAACAAACCATGGCTATCAAACGCCATCAGTACCTCCATCAACAGAAGGCAAAAGCTTTTTAAAACTCATTTTCTCAGTGAAGATACAAAAAAGTACAAATGTATTAGACATACAGGTGTATAACAACAAACTTAATAAGATCAAGGATGTGGCCAAGAAGAATTACTTCAAACTGCAATGTAACATGAACAAAGATAATCTAAAAACAACATGGAAGCTAATTGGCACGATATTTACACAATGTAACAGAAGGAACTCCAGCAAAACTAAACCAAACAAAACAAACAAAAAACAACAACAACAACACCAAAACGAAACAAAAGAACTTGACCAACATCCGGCCACCTTGACCTCACGCCTGGTCAATAATCCACAGATATAGGTATGGTATTCATTGGGCTTCTCAGCAGCTTCTGCATACCTCAGAGTCTGAAGGAGCTTGGTCCACGTTCAGGTCGGCATAGGTCAGCGCTTCAGTATCCGTGTAGCCGCTACTGGCGCTTAGATCCACGGGCCTTCTGGGGACATATTCTGGGAGGACCTTGCTTGTTGAGGACAACAGAGGCTGTGGTACGCCTGAGGGGAGAGATGTAGGCAGCAGTGATTGGTTCAAGTCGTAGAGTTAACAATCATTAGCCGCATTACAGGAAATTTCACATGACAAAGGTATCCTTACCATTATCTCTCTGTTCCGTTGCTGCTGCACCGCTCTTCAGTCGTTCATTCTCCATCTGCAGATTGTGCAGTTGCGTCTCATATTTTCTGATCGTAGCTTCAAGACGACCTTCTAACGACGCCACTTTGCGATCAGACTCGGAACGGAGCTCGCTGTGGCGTCTGCGAAGAAAGCAAACGATTATTGAACTTGAGCAAACAAACCGATTCATATATACTGACCGTACCTCATGTAGAACTTACTGTTCTGTCGGATCAGCCTCGTTGAAACGTAATAGAGGCCCAAGAGTTGTGAGTGAAGTAATCTCAGGAGTGAAAACACTTCTGAAAACTGACTCTAGGCAACTCAATGTAAAATCAAATGACCCAAGAAAACTGATTCACTCTTACACGACTTTATGTCGTACCAGCGAAACAGGGTGATTGTAGCTAGAAATTGTAGCTTCCTGAATATAAAGCAAACATCACTCAAACGCAACACAGCGAAATCCCACCCGACATGGGGCTGTGTAACTGTCATGTTTTCGTCCCCAGAGCCACCTGTCCGTCTTAGCCAGCGGGGCTTTGGCACAAGAAAAAGCTGGCTCTGGAGACACATGACTTGATTGGCTAGATTCTTGGACTAAGATTTTCACTAATTCAGACCTGGTTTTTCCCCGAACTTCTCCAGTGATTGATCTCTGACCAAAACGGTGCGATTAAAGCACCTACAGATCTTTTTAAACATATTTCAACGAATGGAATTTTCAGCAGAGGTAAAATTCTGGCCGGAAGTGATACACGAAAGTTTCTGAAAATTCCTCTGGCAAGCAAGTTTTAAACTTCCCGAAGGTTTGCAGATGGTGTGAGCGAACGGTTTTTAGTTCGAAATCAACAAGTTATGATCAGACAACTCCTCAGGCCTCGTTCACACTAAGCCGGAGGAATCTGAAAACAGAGGTTTCACACTGAAAACGCATCAAATGCTTTCCGTCCACACTAAGCCCGAGGAATTTGAAAACGGAGTTTTCACTCTTAAAACGCATCAAATATTTTCACTCCACACTAGGCCGGAGGAATTTGAAAACAACAATCACCGGTCATTTTGGATTTGTGTTGAGGAAAACTTGTTCTGGGAAATCACGTGATTATCGTGACGTCATTGTTTTCGTAAAGCTCCGTTTTCAAAATGTTTTCCGTCCACGCGAAAACGAAAAGCCAGCGTTTTCAAATCCCTTCGGTTTGAAGAGCGTTTTCGAAAAGCTCCGTTTTCGCGACGGATTAGTGTGGACGGAAGGCCTAGCCGGAGAAATAAAGCTGCGTTTTCAATTCCTTTAGCGTAGTGTGGAGGGCGCCTCAGAGATGGTACGCACTCCCTTGACTGTACCTGAACTCGTTGTCCTTGATGTCAGCTAAAGCATCCTGATTTTTCCTCAGCGCGTGTCTGTATTTGTCTTGATATTTGGCTTCTAACGTACTTAGTTCCTCGCGGAGCGTAGCTACTTCAGTTCGTAAGTTTCTGTTATCATTCTGAAATCAAAGAACGGAGGAAATAAGATAAAATTGAATTTCTGCTGCCTTTCTTCAAATTCTTCAATTCTTCAGACATATGAGGACCACCGTTAAACGGAGTCTAGTGCAAAATTTGCCGCGTTGATCATTTACTGATATTACATTTATTTCTTGAACACGAACTCTTTGCTTACCTCTAGCTGACCAATGAGCTGCAGGTTGCCACTGTAGAGGTCTGATAAATCCTAAAATGAACAATGGAAACATGTCATTATATGGCTAGCTCCGCAATGGGGCAAGATGAACCAAATACTGGGTTGTGATTGGTCACAGATGAGGGCTATCATGACTGCTCGGGATTACCCGCTGTGTCCCACATATCCCTCTATGCCACATAACAAATGGTTTATTAACGAAGCTTGTTCGGTCAAGATAGTTGGATATTAGCCTCGATCGTTTTGCTTATTTATAGACCTCGACAACGTCACGGTCCACAAACACGCCAAAAAAAACAAAACAAAAACAAAAACAAAAACAAAAACAAATGGCCAGTATTCAGCCATGTGAACATCACGTTTGGTCAAATATTTTCCCAAATAGAGACACTACACAAGATCACAACATAATGACCCAAGTCAGGCTTGAAGCTTAACTGGCCTCACCAATCCAGAATCTTGTGATTACCCGCCTTGTACGGGACAACACTGTAAAAGAACCTGCTCTGGTCTTGAACAAGACCCGAGCTCTGACTCACCGTTAACTGCTCATTTAGCGCTGTGTCTCGGAGATGTCTGTTTTCAATTCGNAAAAAAACCGGACCTCTAGAATTACACGAGCTGGGGCTGCTGAAGAAAACCAGTCTTAAGGACTGCCGATGATCATAATTTGGACAGAATTTTATTTAGTAAACTACAATTATCAAACCTTTGAATTTTCCAGCATCAGTTGTTTGAGGTCATTGTCTTCTAAGAATTTTACTTCCTCCTGCTTAAAGTTTAAAAGGAAAGCATTATCATTAATCACGCTTCATAGTAACAGAACTGTCTGCTGGTACATGGAAAGGCAAATTGTACGAAGAAATGTCTCATGAAACAGCAGCATCTGTAAGCTTTGCACTGCACGCAAACTTTTAAACTTACCTTCCTAGAAAGCTCTGCTTGTAGCTTGGAAATTTCGTTTTTACTACTTTCCAGTCTGTCGAATGGAAAGAAGTACTGAGAGGGAACTCCTTCATTTAAACAAGCACAAAACACGATTTTCAAAGTTCTAGTACATTAACTTACTTTTGATTCAAGTGGTTCAGTTCATTCTTCTGATATTGACTTGCATCTAGCTGCGATCTGTGTGAGAGAAACATTAATTTAACCATAAAACTGCTGACAATGATTTGAAACTCTTGGTGTGTGCAATCGTTGGATGTGTGGTGGTTTAGCTGTTTGCGTGCTGGACCAAGGATTGAAAGGTCCAGGTTTAAAGCTTTTTTGCTATTACTATGTCTCTCTCTCTCCATCCAGGGTACTGGCAAAGTTAATGTTGGGAAGGGAGTGCGGGGGGTGGGGAGTAAGTACCCTGCGATGGACATTTTGGCAGATATCTGCTGAAAGAGCTGGTAGGTAGGTAGGTAGGTAGGTAGGTAAGAAGGTATTCTAAGGAAAAATACAGCCACTTGAAGGTTGTAAATATATTGTTAATAGCTCACTCTATTTCCATTCGGCTTGTTCTAAGATCCTCCTTTAGTCTCCTCACTTCAATATTTTCTGTTCTTCTACTTACGTCCTCCAGTTGTCTGAAAATGAGCCAAGAAAACATTGAATATGCATGTCTGTATTTATCAAACAGTGTTAAAGAAATCGCGTCCCGCTAAAGCGTTATTTTCCTCCACTCTCTCATCTTCCTTTTCTTGCTCTTCTCTCTCTATTTCTTTCTTTTTTTTTCATCACTTAATGATTTTAAAGCCTTTAGGAGTCGTGAAATTAAAGTGCGTATGGGTGGTCTNCTGTAAGCTTTGCACTTACCTTCCTAGAAAGCTCTGCTTGTAGCTTGGAGATTTCGTTTTTACTACTTTCCAGTCTGTCGAATGGAAAGAAGTAGCACCTGAGAGGGAATTCCTTCATTTAAACAGGCACAAAACAAGATTTTCAGAGTTCTAGTACATTAACTTACTTTTGATTCAAGTGGTTCAGTTCATTTTTCTGATATTGACTTGCATCTAGCTGCGATCTGTGTGAGAGAAACATTAATTTAAACATAAAACGGCAATGATTTTAGACTCTTAGTGTGTATCATCGCTGGACGTGTGGTGGTTTAGCTGTTTGCGTGCTGGACCAAGGATTGAAAGGTCCAGGTTTGACCCTTTTTTGCTCTTACTATGCCTCTCTCCAAATAGGGTACCGGCAAAGTTAATGTTGGGGGAGGGGGGTGTACCCTGCGATGAAAGCATACCATCTAGGGTGGAGGGAGTAAAACTATTTATAGATGGTTCATGCTACAGAAAATGGTAATCTGTTAGGCGGGTTGGTGGGTAGGTTTGAAGGTATGCTAAGGAAAAAACAGCCATTTGAAGGTTGTAAATATATTGTTCATAGCTTACTCTATTTCCATTCGGCTTGTTCTAAGATCCTCCTTTAGTCTCCTCACTTCAATATTTTCTGCTCTTCTACTTACGTCCTCCAATTGTCTGAAAATGAGCCAAGAAAACATTGAATATGTATGTATGCATTTACGAAAACAGTGTTAAAGAAATCGCGTCCCGCTCAAGCGTTATTTTACTCTACTCTCTAATCTTCCTTTTCTTGCTCTTCTCTCTCTATTTCTTTTTTTTTTTTCATCACTCTTAATGATTTTAAGACCTTTAGGAGTCGCGAAATTAAAGTGCATATGGGTGGTCTGGTTTTACATGTAAGTATTGACACCGTTTTCATAAACCCAGACATACATGTATATTTGGTAAAAATTTCTGACAACTTGACTTTCCTGATGAAGTAGCCAGAAACACCACTGACAAAATACAAAACAGAGGCATACGTGGGAATAAGTCAGCTCAAAGAGGCCTAATACATGTAGCCTTATAGCTTCGTGTCTTGTAGGGTTTGTACCTGATAACCTCGTCCTTCATTATCAGACTCTGTTCCAGTTTAGACATGTCTTCTGCATGCTGTCTTTGGTCATCTTCTGCTGCCTGCAGTCAATAATAATAATAATAA